CCAGATTGGTCAGGCAAGATCTGCCCTTGCTGAAGCCATGCCACCTGTCTTGAATCACCTCTTTGTTTCGTATGTGCCTTAGCATAGCTTCTAGGAGGATCTGTTCCATGATCTTCCCAGGCACAGAGGTGAGGCTCACCGGCCTGTAGTTCCCCGGGTCTTGTTTTCTCCCTTTCTTAAAAATGGGAGTAATATTTCCCTTTCAGGAGGAGGATGTGACCCCACAAAATCCCCAGCCTGCAGATGTTTTTCCAAAGCAAGTGTTCAAGCTACTGCCTTTCCTAGTCGCATGGGTTTGCAAACTTTAATGAATCCCTGGTAAGGCATTTATTTAGCTCAAAAAAGAAAAAACCCAAACCACCAGGAAATGCCCCATTAATGCACTGGAGATAAAATCAGTCTCGAAGACTCCAGGCTGGACTGTAACAGCACAGCCCGTGATGCAAAATCCATGTCTTCAGCAGGCCAGCAGCCAGGAGCCCCAGGCTCTAATCCCAGTGCTGAGCTCCCCAGCTTGGCAAATAAAACTACAGAAAGTAGGGGGGGAGGCTTTGTTTAAATTTCCCCATGTTTTCCTGGGCAAGCTCATTTTACCATATGCATTAACAATTTAAGAGTCGCGAGGTTACTTAGGGCTTCCATGTGAAATGTGTTCCTGAACCCGTGGTTGCCCCAGCCTTTCAGGGTGATCCCACTCGACAGCAGCTGTGGTGCAACACCCTGATGCTGCCTGCACGGCTGAGAGTGACGCCAAGGGAATGGCTAGCAAGAGGGAAAGCTCTGCCAGAAAGCACTGTAATGCAGAGGAGAAGAAAAGCTGATCTCTAAGAGAACTAAGGAGTAGGTTCAAAACTGGAATACATTTCTGGAACCAGTTACCAAGACGAAACTGGGAGTTTTGCCTCAGGAGCAGGGAACTGGAATGCCAGGTATAGACGGATTCAGCAGCTGGGCTATTTTTGGCTTGTGAACTGTTCTAAGGGCTGTTTATTTTTAAGGTCATTTTCTGTTTGCATAGCATATACATCCTTCTGGTGGGTGGGAGGCATTATAAAAATAATCACTGCTGTGCAGTTACAAACTAAGCTTGGAGAGAGATGGAAAAAACCAGAACTTGGTGTACTTTTTTGCTTTAAAACCCCAAACCATCTGGTTAGGTCATAAGGTTTGCTGACCCACTCCCAGCTGTGCCCCCACCGGAAAAATACTGTTTCAATTAATACAGACCACTGCAGGGGATTGCAAAAGACTTGTGAAAACTCAGTCAGATGGTAACATGGTGTAAAAAGAAAGGAAGTATCAGATTTGGCTTTTTTTTTTTTTTTTTTAATTTGTGCTTACCTTAGCAGTGCCTACCTTTACTTAGCAGTAAATAGAAAAACAGAGCATTCACCCCACGGCTGAGGAGTCAGGACTCATGCTGGCCAGCCAGGCCCGAATCCCAGCTCTTGTTTAAGACTCTCATTCAATAACAACATGCTTTATTGTCATATCTTCCTGGCTTCTTCCTGTTAGCCATATCTTTATTCACACACAGTCAAGTGATACAAATTCATTGGAACAGTGGCAGTTTACAAAAGACAGTAAGAATGATTACTTTGAACTGAAATTTAAAAACCCCCAAGTTTGGCAGGGAACGCACTGTTTAGAACAGGTCATGGTAAGGAAACTGTTTGTAACATTGGCAGTGTACACCCAGCCATGTTCCTTTTTCCAGAGCATAAAATACACAATACAAAAATATACTAAAAGTAATGTCAGAGTTTGTAGAAATGTCTGCTGCAAAACAATTGCTGTTGTCGGATTTTCAGGATATTGACTCCCACGCTATATTATGTTAGAATACTTGAATAAACATGGTTTATTTCTATTCTAACTTAATTTGAACTTTAAAGTTGATCTCAAGGTAATTGTAAAGTCTTGGGCTCCAATCCTGAAAGTACACAAAGGACCTTAACTTTGGACTCGTGTGACTGACAGATAGGAGGTGAGCCCACAAGTGAGCATTCAATGCCTTGCTCAGGAGGGAAGTTGAAGTGCTGTACTTCACAGGATCTTAATTTGGGGCATTTTCCTGGATTTTTCAAGACTTTTAACAAGTCTTCCCTGGGCTATCCTTTACCTGGTTTGAGTTCATCGAGTTACTGGCAATCCGGTGGAAGTGCCTGTTTTTGAGATCTGGGGCGCTGCACTTGGTTGAGTCAACTGCAGGAAGTCTCTCCTTCCTTATCTCACTCCCCTGTACAATTTTACCCGTCCCTTTCCTCTCTCCTTCCTCCCTCCTTGCCCAGTACCACCAAAATGACTTCTTCCATACCGAGTGCTCTGGCGGTTTGCTAAGGCTGCTCATGCCAAGCCTCGTACGAACTCCATGCATTCAGAGCACCACTTCCTTAGTATTTCCACAGCAAGGGACCTGGGTGCAAAGACAGAGGCCTGTGCCGACCTTACCGTGCAGGGATGAGTGGCTGTCCCCTCAGGCTGGCACGCTTGCAGTGAGAATCTCTGATGTAGATGCAATACTCGTGGAAAACACCATCTGGAGTGCCCCTTGCTGTGACAAAGGAACACACTGCTAGCAGGCAAGTGTGTTTAAATCCAGGCTTTCTTGCTCCTTTTTCTCCCAAGAGCCGATCTCAAAGCGTATGAGAAACTAAGTCAGTATTGCTCCATTTTTGCGGACAGAAAGACTAAGGCACTGAGGGTGAGCTCATCTGGCCGGGGCTGATCCGCAGGTCTCTGCCCCACTCCGTGCTCTTCACTGAGCTGTCGTTCTCTATGCTCACATCGGATGAGATACTTTCTCAGAGGGTAACCCCATCTCTGCTCCCCATGCACACACCACACAGGGGCCAAGATCCACCTTCCTAGGCATGGCCCCAGAGAAAACATCAAGAAGGACAAGCACTGGAGGCCCAAAGTTGGCTTCCCAGTGTCTGCGTCCCAGAGACTTCCAAGGAGGTCAGCTATGGAAAGATGACCAGGATACTTCTGAGGTGTAAAACTCTGTGTCTGCTGGCCACTGGTCAGCTTTGTCATCATCAGACTTGTCACTGTCATCGCCGCTGGAGGGTTCGTAGCCTGGGATGGCAGAGCGGCTTGGCTCTGGCTGCCTGCCCTCTGCCTCCGCCTCCTTCTTCTTTTCTGCCAGCAGCTGCCTGTAGCACAGGTTGCAGACCCGCAGGGGCTTGGGGG